AAAAAACATAAGTAAGAGAGTTTGTGAAAATTTGGAATGAAAGAAGAAATCATCCATGAAACCTTTTCTCATTTTTATACATATATATATATATATATATATATATATATATATATATATATATATATGTTTTTCATTATGTAGCTTTGTAGGTTTTTTTTTAAAATTTGCGGTTGTTGTATCAAATAATTTAATGTACTTTTTAATGGAATACAAACCTATTTTACTTGCTTTATAATTATCCTTTGAACAAGTAAATGTATCAGGAAGGAAAGAAGAAGCAAGATGGTAACAGTAACATAAAAATGCCAGTGAATTTAAACCCTATAAAAACAGAGCAACTAGGATAGCAAAACACTAAAAACCCATACTGATGGAAGTGATGCTGCTTTAGTTTGAGGCTCAACCTTTAAGGAACTTTTATTTCTGCTCTGCAAAAACCTGTGTCCATGTAAGAAGTCCAGCTACCTATTACCACCATGCTATGAAGAAAGCCAGGCTAGCTATATGAATCTGATGAGTGAGAAGCACCCAGTGAAGCCTTCTTGGTCCAGCTCAGCTTAGTTGTTAGCCGAATGAAGCACAGCGAGTAGTTCCAAGTGAGACCACCTGGAGTACTGGGACCCTTCCTAAACTTTTAACCCACAGAGTATGAAATAGTTTTCAGCCACAAAATTTTAGGCTGGTTTCTTGTGCAGCAGTAGAGAATTGATAGACCAACCAAAGTGATTTTCATTTATAGACTCCTATCAACCTATGTCAATGCAGGGAATATTGTTTTTATAAATTTTTCTTAGGAAACTAATAGTGTTTTTCAAATACCAAAATGATTAGAGAAATACCAGTGTAAAGACTTGTGGTGAGCATTAGAACTAAGATAAATAGGGCCAGAAAGGAATGTATAGTAGGTGATAACTGTATGCTTTGATAAAGAAATAGAATCCAGAAAAAATTTAGATCATTTTCAACAATCATAGTTTTATTATGGTGTTGGTTTTGTTAATTAGATACTGTTTTCTGTGTATTGTGCAGTCAAGCAAATAAATTATTTTAAGTTATCACCTGTGTCCTTAAGAACCAAGAGTCTCAGCATGGAAATAATGATATACTGATATAATATAGAAGGTTAAGTAAATACCCTGTACTTTTGATCTTTAATTGGAAGTTATCCCTAGGAACTTGAGATATTTTAATTTTATTTTAAAAGAGTGCAAACTTTATATATTTCTCTGTGTATATTTATACATATGTATATGTATAATGTTAATCTGAGAAGTCTATATTGTAGATTAAAGCAAATGAATATTTATGCTATATTTTAATTATGACATTTCCTAGCTATATCTATGGAAAATTCTCAGAAATGAACAAAACTAGTTCTGAGAATGTGGTCTTGAAATGCTATTTCTTCCTAAAAGAAACAAGGGCTTCTTTGAGAACTCTTTGATTCCAGGTCTGGGACATGAAATGTATAAAATGATTTTGAAACATTTTTTATACCAGATACCAAAGAAGATATTGGTGACACACAATTCTGTTTCCTTTCTGTGGGTGGTTCCCAGTTCATTTAACTATATATCTACTAGGTCTGTGACAAAAGAAATCAGAAGCCAATTTAAAGATGCCCGATGTTGCTCAACTATCTCACTTTCAGCCCTAAAAATCCTAAATTTGGGAGATTTTAGTCTCAGACATTGTGGTACAGTTGATCACTCTGAGGCTCCCACTAGCCACAATGGGTCAATTTGAGTACCAATAAGGATAATAGCTCACAACAAATTGACATATTATGTTTACATTTATGAATTCATATATAATGGAAAAAAAACAAACTAAGAACAAATTCTTGTTGTTTGTTCATCATTAGTGGATATTAGGAAACCCTTCCTTTTGGAAATACAAGCTGAGAGGAAGATCAAGTATTTATGCTTACTTTCCCGTATGAGCTGTACCCTTAAGGATAGACAAATATACTTAAGGTAAAAAAATTTTCATAGAGAAATTTTTATGTGCTAGCAAACAAAGATTAAACAATAGTATATCATTTTGCATTTACTCAGGTTTTAATGAATTTTGATGTTTAATATCAGTGGTTGCTAATAATAAAACAAAATCAAACGTATGACTTTATTATTGGTTGCTAATAACACCAGAGAAAATCATACATGTGATTTATTACCACTTAATGATAACTTGCCAGAAATGATAAACCTAAATCTGAAGATACTGTCTACATCCTGTTTGTAGGAAATGTAGAAGATTGCAGAATTTCTTAAACTACACTATGGGAATACAGTCAACAAAACCCATTCTGTTGAAACTGTAGTTCAGAGGATCCAATATATTCAATAAATTATAAAGAATAAAAGGTGGTGAGGAAACCCACAGATCAAAAAAGGGTGACGTTGCAACACTTAGGTGTATATGTTTCTGTAATAAAAATATGGAAGTGATTCCCATAGAAGTGAGAATAGTAATTTCTCTTGGGCGGGGTGATAGATAGACAGTGACATGATTGGGAGGGAGCCTAAGAGGGGCTTCTGTGCTAGCTCACACAATTCTGTTTCCTTTCTGTGGGTGGTTCCCAGTTCATTTAACTATATATCTCAGTGTGATCTTCTGTCATATATTTAATAATAAAAGATCTAAAATAAAAAATAAAGGAAATTGGGGAAGATAAATGGTGAGAGTTAATGCTTTATAAATTAGCTAAACTTGTTGACTGAGAATTTTTTTAAATGCTATTCTTGGAAGGTTCAATATAATCTGTAAGTAGAAAGGTACTAAAGTTTATTAGAAAGAGGGCTGTAGTATTTACTGAAAACTGTTTTTAAGAATACAAATGTGACAGAGTAGATTTCCCTGAGAGACTGAAAGCTAGCCAGGAGAGCAGTATGAAACTTAAGGTGAAGGTAATAGATTTGGAATAAGGGTGATTCTTATAGTAATGCAAGTAAAGTAGCAATAGTCATGCAGTAGGACAGTCAATAAAACTTGGTGACAGATTAAGTATGATTGTGAAAAATAAAAACATTAAAAATAAACTCAAAGATTATATGTTTGAGGATATTACTTTTATATTAGGTAGGACTGAGGAATTCTGGAAGGGTAGTTCTAGGTGCTGTAGAATAAGGTCTTGTGTTTCTCCTCATGGTGTATTTAGAACCTTGGAGAAGTGGTTGCTAGGGATTCTGTGCTCTGAATTGTTCATCTAAAAATTCCAATTCTGACAAGTAAGCAACTGATATGGTTGTTTCTGTTAACTGTAAGTTGGGACAAAGATATGAGGGTGACTTAAAAAAAAATCTTCCGAATTTTGAATCATGCTTGTAGTGTCTACTCAGAAAATAAATACTAGTTGATTAATATGAATATTAATATTAGATATTTGAAGACTGTTCAGATAGGCACCTAGAAAAGAGAAACCAGGGTTGGAGAGAGTTAAGCAGTAGGAAGACTAGCACAGAGGCTGTCCACTTTGTCTGCCATGGGTATCGCCTGTGGATATTAAATAAACTGATGCTTGATTATCACCCCTAGAGATGTCCAAATCTTTAATTTCTGGAGAGAAATTCTGATTTTGTAATCTTTATTATTTTAACTGTATTTAACTCTGAGAACCAGTCAAGTAAACATGTTTAATACTCCGGTGTCTATGACTTGTGTATGTTTGTAAACATTATATGTTTTTGTGCGTGTATGTGTAGCTTGTGGGTGCACGAATGTGGCTGAGTGTGGCTCTTATATATTATGTGTTTCATCCATGAAAGAAAACTTACAGCTGGAGGCTCAGGATTCTCATTTTCCTGGATCTTTTAATTCTTTACTGCCACCATATAGGATTTTCTTCTTTAGGCAGAGATCATGTCTTTGCTTTTCAACTAGCTTTGGCACTGCTCAAAGATTGTGGTGATGAGCAGCATAGACTGTTTCTTTTTTCTTTGTTATTACTAAGGCTAAAGATCACTATATATTCTTTATTTCTATGGACTCCCTTCATCTCACTCTGGCAACTGTTCTGGATCCAATTTCTGTAACAGAGTGTCCTGAAATATATGAATCTTTCTTAGCCTGATAGAGAGATAGACATAAGCAGTGGGGACATGGAGATTAAGTGGTTACATCTATACAATCCTTTGGATAGGTAATAAGCCTTTAGATAGGTTAAGACTTATTGTTAGATCTAGGAAAGAAAAGGGAATAGGAGGTGATGTGAAATTATGTGAGAGTTTTTCCTTCTTTCTTTTTTTTTAGGTAACTATTTTTTTTTTAGTGATAAAAACCATTAGGGAAATCCAAGTGGGGTATGTTTATTCTTTATGGCTGGTGAAATTGGGAGAAGTTTGAAGACTGCTTAGATAGGAACCTAGAAAAGAGAAACCAGGGTTGGAGAGAGTTAAGCAGTAGGAAGCCTAGCACAGTGGCTGTCCACTTTGGCTGCCATGGGTATTAAATAAACGGATGGATAGTAAATAAACTGATGCTTGATTATCACCCCTAGAGATTCTGATGTAATTGTCAGGGATACCACCTGGGCATTAGAACTTGATTTCAGTGTTGAAAATCATTGATTTAGAGCAGAAAACTGGTCTAAGACTACAAAAAATCTTTGGCTTGCACAGTGTCTCAATCTCAGATTCATTCTATTTGGGATAAATTGGAGTTTATTGTGAAGGGTAACTATGGTACAGTGGGTTGCTCCCTAGAAGATTTGATACTTTCTTAAGATTTGTATTTATTTAGAGAAGTAAGGCATGAATGAGTCTTTAGCATCTGGAAAGAATGGACAGATTAAGGGCTGGGGTTGTGGCTCAGTGGTAAAGCGCTTGCCTAGCATGTGTGAGGCACTAGGTTTGATTCTCAGCACCGCATATAAAGAAATAAAATAAAGGTCCATTGACATTAAAAAAAAAGAATGGACAGATTAACATATTAATAGTAATTATATTGAAACTTGATTGGACCTGCTACACATATTTAACATTGTGATATTTGCACAGGTTGCCTGTGATTTGCTTCGGAGAATTATTCGCATCTTGTATCTAAGTAAGAGACTCCAAGGACAACTGCAAGGGGGAAGTAGAGAGATAACAAAAGCTGCTCAGAGTCTCAATGAACTTGGTAAGTCCTTTTCTGATTATTTAAATAGAGGTTTAAAGATTTTAAGTTTTAGATTTATTGATATTTATTATTACCGTTAACAAATATTATTGAGCAAGTTTTTGAAAAGTTGGCTGTAGATAGCATTGTCACATTTTTCAGAATTGGTGAGTAAAATAATTTGCTTTCTTGAATGTCTATTACTTATAAAATTATATCATAAATTGGTCCTTTTTCATATATAGATCTGTAGATTTTGACATGTGTGGATTCATGTAACCACCACCACAGTCATGATATAGAATAGTTCCTTCATTGCCCCAAATTTGCTCATCAGCACTTGATAATCACTTACAGACCACCTGCCTCTAATGCAGGCAACCACTGATCTTTATTGTTGTGTTTCATCTTTTTAAGAAAGTCAAGTAAATGAAATTATAAAGTATGTAATCTTTTGAGGTTGGCTTCTTTTACTTGGCATAACACCTCTGAGATTTATCAAAGTTGTTGGGTGTACCACTGGTTTGTTACTTTATATTTGTTGGACTATCATTCTGTGCATGTGCTGTGGGTTGTTTATTGATTCACTAATTGGACATTTGTGTTCTTTCCAGTTTTTGGTGATTATAAGTAGAACTGCCATAAATACTTGTGTTTTCATGAGAGCTTAAATTTTCATTTCTCTAGGGGAAATGTCAAAGAGAAATGCTATTTCTAGGTGACAATTCCCATGTTCATATTTTGCCTACATTCCTTATTTGTTCATTCTATACTCAGACATTTACAGCAGGCCCTTAGCATTCAAGGGTTTAGTGTTCATGGTTTTGACTGCTAACAAGCTTCAAGGTCCATTATATAGCAATTCATAATTTTTCTGGGAAAATTTTTAATAGTGAGTACACATAGAAATGCTCATACCTGTGGTTTATTTTAATTTTAATTTTAATTTATATATGACAGTGGAATGCATTACAATTCTTATTACACATATATATGGTTGTATATAAAGTATGCTGACACCCAATTCGAGTCTTCATATATGTATTTTGGATAATAATGATCATCACATTTCCACCATCCTTGTTAATCCCTTGCCCCCTCCTTTTCCCTCCCATCCCTCTTCCCTGTCTAGAATTCATTATATCATAAATTGGTCCTCCCATGCTTTCCCTTCCTACCCCACTATGAGTCAGCCTCCTTATATCAAAGAAAACATTCGGCATTTGTTTTTTTGGGATTGGCTAACTTCACTTAGCATTATCTTCTCTAACTCCATCCATTTACCTGCAAATGCCATGATTTTATTCTCTTTTAATGCTGAGTAAAATTCCATTGTGTATATATGCCACATTTATTTTATTCATTCATCCACTGAAGGGCATGTAGGTTGGCTCCACAGTTTAGCTATTGTGAATTGGGCTGCTATAAACATTGATGTGGCTGTGTCCCTGTAGTATGCTGTTTTTAAGTCCTTTGGGTATAGTCCGAGGAGAGGGATAGCTGGGTCAAATGGTAGTTCCTTTCCCAGATTTCCAAGGAATCTCCGTACTGCTTTCCATATTGGCTGTACCAATTTGCAGTCCCACCAGCAATGTATGAGTGTACCTGTTCCCTCACATTCTCGCCAAAACTTGTTGTTTGTCATCACGATAGCTGCCATTCTGACTGGAGTGAGATGATATCTTAAAGTAGTTTTGATTTGCATTTCTCTGATTGCTAGAGATGATGAGCATTTTTTTTATATATTTGTTGATTGATTGTATATCCTTTCCTGAGAAGTGTCTGTTCATTGGCTCATTTATTGATTGGTTATTTGTTTTTTCGCTGCTTAGCTTTTTGAGTTCTTTATATATCCTAGAGATTAGTGCTCTATCTGATGTGTAAGGGATAAAAATTTGCTCCCGGGATGTAGGCTCTCTGTTCACCTGACAGATTTTTTTTTTTTTCTTTGCTGAGAAGAAGCTTTTTCGTTTGATTCCATCCCATTTATTGATCAGACTTGCATTAAATTTATTGATTCTTGGTTTTAATTCTTGTGCTATAGAAGTCTTATTAAGGTAATTAGGGCCTAATTCCATATGATGAGATTAGGGCCTACTTTTTCTTCTATTAGATGCAGAGTCTCTGTTTTAATTCCTAGGTCCTTGATCCATTTTGAGTTAACTTTTGTCCATGGTGAGAGATAGGGGTTGGTTTAATTTCATCTTGTTGCATATGAATTTCTAATTTTTCCAGTACCATTTGTTGAAGATATTATCTTTTCTCTGTGCATGTTTTTGGCAACTTTGTCTAATATAAGATAATTGTAATTTTGTGGGTTAGTCTCTGTGTCCTCTATTCTGTACCAGTCTGTTTTGGTCTACCAGTCTGTTTTGGTTACTATTTGGTTACTATGCTGTTTTTGTTATTATTGCTCTGTAGTATAGTTTAAGGTCTGGTATACTGATGCTACCTGCTTCACTCTTCCTTCCAAGGATTGCTTTAGCTATTCTGGGTCTCTTATTTTTCCAGATGAATTTCATGATTTCTTTTTCTCTTTCTATGAGGAATGCCATTGGGATTTTGATCAGACTTGCATTATAGTGCTTTTGGTAGTATGGTCATTTTGATACTATTAATTCTGCCTATCCAAGAGCAAGGTAGATCTTTCCATCTTCTAAAGAAGGTTTTCTTTGATTTCTCTCTTTAGGGTTCTATAGTTTTTATTGTATAGATCTTTCACCTCTTTAGTTGGTTTAAGTGGTACCTTGTGGTTTTCTTTGGAGCACTCATGTAAAAGAAACAAACAAAATAACACTTGAAGGGATGTTAGCAGTTATTTAAAGGGGCAGCAGATTATTTCCTTGCAAGCATGTGTGGTTGTTCTTAAAAGTTTTTGCCTAGCAGCTAATACTTAGAGTAAAACAAGTACAGTAGTAATACTTATATTATAAGTCACACTCCTAAAATTAAGTTAAAAGTGATCTGCCAACCATGTGACGTTTTGAACCTTGAATTAGTGTGACTAGACAAAATACATTGGCAAATGAAATGAAGTATATTCTGAGGGATTAAGGGTGTGTCGAGTGATTACTGTTGGATACAACTTTCTTTTTTGGGGTTATGAAAATGTTCTGAAATTAGTATTGTATAGAGTTGTCCATATACTATAAACTGTTGATGTGAACACTTTGAAGGAATGAATTTTAAGTTATATAAGATATATGTACTTTGAGCATCCATAATTGAAAAACCCAGAATTCAAAATGCTTCAAAATCAAACTTTTGAACACTGATATAACACTACAAATGGAAAATGGCACATTTGACCTCTTGTGATGGGTCACAGTCAAAATGTAGGTATACCGCATACATTTGTATAAAATTGTCTATAGGCTATGTGTATAAATGATATATGAAAATAAATAAATTTTGTGTTAGACTTGGTCACATGACCAAGATATCTCATTACATATGTTAAAATGTTCCAAAATCCTAAACCCAAAACACTTCTGGTTTCAAGCATTTTGGATAAGCAATTCAGCTGTATTAATTTAAAACACACATTTTGAATATCTAGTGATAATTAACTCTCCCTTTCTTTCATCTTTCCTTCCTTCCTTCTGTGACATAATAAACTGATATATTGAAAATAAGTAATTTTGACATGCGGCATCACGAATAACAAGACAGTGAACATAGTATCACTCTCCAGAGTTTCCTCTTGACTCCTGGTATTCTCTCTTCAAGTGTTTACTGATTTATTTTCTGTATATAGATTAGTTTCCACTTTAAAGAATTTCATATAAACAGAATTGTATGCTTTGTATGTGTTTTTTCCAAGCTTCTTTCAGTTGTCATAATTATTTTGAAATGCATCAGTATTATGTGTATCAATATATTATTTTATTTATTTGTTTTTTGGAACTGGGGCTTGAATTCAGGGGCACTTAACCACTAAGCCACATCCTCAGCCCTTTTTGTATTTTATTTAGAGCAGAGTCTCGCTGAGTTGTTTAGGGCCTTGTTAAGTTGCTGAGGATGGAATTGAACTGACAATCCTCCTGCCTTAGTCTCCCAGCTGCTGGGATTACAGGCTTGCCCCACCATTCCAGGCTAATAATTTATCTCTTTTTATTGCAAAGTAATGTTCCTTTGATAGATCCCAGTTGTTTTTATCCATTCATCTGTTGGTGGACATTTGGGTTATTCCTAATTTTTGGATATTAAAAATCAAGAGTTATGAACTTTTATGTACAAATCTTTGTATCTTCATTTCTCGTTAATTACCTAGGAGTGGAGTGTTTGCATCATTTGGTAGGTGTGTGTTTAACTTTTTAAAAAATTATTGAAGTGTTTTCAAAATAGTCGTAATACTTTACATTCTTATCATTACTGTGTTTATATTCTACTTCCCCTACATCCTTGCCAACATTTATTGTTTTCTTAAATTGAGCCTTTCAAATTAGTTATATTTGAAAACACATCTCACCAGAGAATTTGTATAAATGGCACATATGTATATGAAAATATGCTGAACATTTTTATAATTTAGGAAAATTAAGATTAAAATTAAAATCATCATTATCAAATTGACAGAATTATTTTAGTGTAGACTTGTACTTTTTTATCAGGTTGTTATTGTGTATTGATTAAAAAAAATAAAACTACATAGTGTTTTGCAAAATTACATTTTATCATTTTTTATTTCTAATTTTTATTTAAAAACAGCCCCTTTTAGGGGAGGGTTCTTGGATTGAGCTCAAGGCCTTGTGCGTGCTAGACAAGCACTCTATCCTTGAGCCTGATCTATAGCTCAAGAAGTTTTGAGACTAGATAAAATGTATGTGGCTCATACTACAAAACAATAACATTTTTTAAACACTAGTAAGATAAAATACTTGGGAAAATGTTTATTTTATCATACTTACTACTTTTTCCAGCTATTATTGACCCATTTGAGCAGAATTTCTACATAATTTTAAATTTAATAGTTTTCAGAATATTTTTGAATAGCTGGATAAACTATCATTGTAAGCCAG